AGAATCCCATTTGGTAATGAGTGGTCTTTGTTATGTTAATGAGACGCAATTCCTATAGACTGTGTTTTCCTTAAAACAAGCAGGTAAGCAAGCCCATGTGGGAGGCCAGACATGCCAAGGCACCTGTAGAAGATTGCTCACCCAGGAGCAGAAGCCGGGAGAGACAAGGACCTTCTCCAGAGCTGATACAGAGAGACAGCCTTCCCTAGAAGGGGTTCGACTTCCTACACTGTAAGACAATAAATTTCTGTGGCTAAATCCATCTACTTACAGTGTTTCTCTTATAGCAGCATTAGAGACGAAGACTTGCAGCATTACAAATGCAGCAGATGAATATATTGAAAATATTGAGGTTCAGTGGTTATTCCTAAAAGTAATTTTAAAAATATATAAATTTGAGGAAGATGATTACTTTATTTGTAACTTAGAAAGAAATCCAGCATCATGGAATGACAATAGTCTAACAAGTTTCCGAGTTTCCACCAAATAAATAAACCATTAGTTTTTTAAATCATGGAAACAGAGTAAGTACCTCAGAATTTGGTTATGAATAGCTGTCCGCATCAACAAGAAAGGTGACCTCACTGTCCCTTAGATGATCCTGGCTTTTGTATTTGTCTCAGATGCTAGGGCACACTGTACTTCTATAAATGAAGCCTACTGCTTTGGAAGGTCACTAATTCGACTTGCTCTTTTTTTTTTGTAGTGACATTTTAAACTGTAAATATATTCTATGCTAAAGCTAGGGAAAGGGAGGTGGTTTAGAAAAATGACTGTAGGGTAATGATAAAATAACTAGTGTTTAAAACCATCCCCATGGAATATTGCATTGTTTGTTTTTTAAACATTTTTCCATGAATGAAAGGGAATATAGAATCTCAACTTAAGGGTAAGTGAAAATAGTTGTATTTCAGTGCTGTAGGTTTTATAACCTATACATAAATGTGTGTGTGGCATGTGTGCGTGTCTATATCCACCATTTGTGTGTTGTGTGTTGCTATGGTGCTGGAAGCCATGCCATCTCTATTTGAAGTACAAGTAAGGTCACTCAGGGTGAAAAGATCTCAGCAGAGCTTTACAGATTAAGAACAGATTATGAAGAAAGAACAGGCTGTCCCGTTCAGTTCAGAGGGAGTAGCCACTGAAAATCTATAAATAACTGCAGAACTCTGTCAGATTTAGTATCAGGAAATGGGCCCTCAGGTTGAAAGATTCAAACACTACTGAGGAAGAGCTGCCTCCTCCAAGTCGAGTCCACCATAATGAGATGGATGGAGTGAAGCTAGCCCATTGTCTTCATTTGCTGATGGAGCATGACTAAAAATGAGAAGAAACAGCTGCAAATATCCATCGATAATCAGAATGTGGAGTGTTTGAACTCAGACTAGGAGAATTTGAATTCATCAAAGATAGAATGAAATGCATAAAGATCGATAAATGCAAGCCTTGAGCTTATTGAGAGATTGTATGGGAAAAATATTGTGTGATGCAGGAAGCATCAAAAGATGATGGAAAGAATACACAGAGGCACTGTACCAAAAGAACTAGTCAAAACGGAACCATTTCAAGTAGTAGCGTATGATCAGGAACCAATGGTACTGCAAGAGGAAGTCCAAGCTGCAACGAAGGCGTTAGCCGAAACCAAGGCTCTGGGAATTGATGGACTACCAACTGAAATGTTTCAACAAGCTTATGAATCACTGGAAGCATGAACTCATCTATGCTAAGAAATTTGGAAGATAGCTACTTGGTCAACTGACTGGAAGAGATCCATATCTATACCCATTCCAAAGATGTCCCAACAGAATGTCCAATTTATAAAACAATATCACACGCAAGTAATATTTTGCTGCAACGGTTGCAGCAACATTGACAGGAACTGCCAGGAGTTCAGGGTAGATTCAGAGCAGGACCTGGAATGTGGAATAAGGGACATCATTGCTGATGTCAGATGGGCCTTGACTCAAAGCAGAGAATCTCAGAAAGATGATTACTTGTGCTAGGCAAAGGCATTCAACTGTGTGGACCATAACAAACTATGAATAACCTCGAGAAGAATGGGACTCTTAGAGCTCTTCATTGTGCTCATGTGGAATCTCTCCATGGAGCAAGGGGCAGTTGTGAGGACAGAACAAAGGCATACCAAATGGTTTTAAATCAGGAAAGGGGTGTGTTGACGTTGTATCCTCTCACACACTATTCAGTCTGTATGCTGAGCAAATAATCAGAGAAGTCAGAGTGTATGAAGAAGAATGCAGCATCAGGATTGGCGGAAGGCTTACATCTTGGCAATGTTTCAGATGTAGGCTTACAAATTAACATGCATGTTTCATTTTCTGCAATTTCAAAATGGCATCCACAGCAGGGCTCATGCATGTATAGTTAGATGTTGTACGTGTGTCCTTCAAACTGGAATCCTTATATAAACATATGCCTCCTTTTGATGCTGACAGGACACAATCGGCCAAACTGATAACTGGCTTTCAAAATGAAATGGATTTGTAATTACTGTTTCAGTGTCACCAGTTGGTGATTTCTAGTGCTGTGGTTTTGCTTTGCTTTCAAAATATCTCATAAACAAAACCAGCATGCTTTGCAATATACAATCACATTTTAAAATTTCCCTTAGCTTCCCGTGTCATGAGGAAAGATACAATTTCTCTAAGTTAGGAGTATAATGGTGTTTTATATGGCTTTCAAGGGCTTATCAATGTTTACTACATAGGACATAAGTGCTATGTCCCATGCACAAAGCAAACTTGAACATCCTGGAGAATGAACACATCCCCAAACCCACCGCCCTCAAGTTGATTCCCACTCACAGTGACCCTATATGGGGGTTTCTGGGGCTATGAATGATTACAGGAACTGATACACTCATATTTCTCTGACAGAATGGCTGGTGAGTTTGAACTGCCAACCTTGCAGTTAGTAGTCTGGGCAGAGCAACCTCAGAAATAGAGCACAAAGTGATAAATAGGAGTTTTGGAAGTTGACCTTTTATAGTTCTTAGTAATAGACCTGAAAATAGCTATGCTTGTAGTCAATAATAATTCAGTGATTAAGTGATAATAGAGATTACATTTTCTGTCCTTGTATCTTAATTTGAAAATGGGCAGCCTACTAATTTGTCCCCAAGTGTTTTTATAGGTGTATCTTTTGGGGACTTTTTTCATATTGCTGATACTTAAAAAATAATTTGAAAAAATATAATTATGTTATTGTCCTAGGTGTCATAGAACAAGCATCCTAGAAACTTCCATGGCAGATCTTTTTCATCTGTCTCATTGTCCTCATCAGAGAAACAACTCCTCTTTCACATTTAAATGTTAAATGAACACACACACAAATTAGGTTTCAGTAAACATTTGTCTTTCCACTTAGGTATGGTCAGATTGCTCACTTCAGTAATATATTAATTTCAGGGGGGAGGAATTGTTGGAGAGGAATCATCGGCGAGTATTTGGTTTAAACACTCACATGAGTTTCTATTTTCAGATTATTCCCTTGGTCCGCATCCTCTTCTAAATGTGGATACTGTAAACTGGATGCTCACAACACCGCGCCTGCACAGATCCAATAATGTTTAACTTTCTATGGTTGACCTAAGCAGTTCTTATCAATGGCACCATTTAATTATTACGGAGAATGAGAGAAGTGAGCATATTTGAATCCTGAACATTCCTCAGGAGTGAGTGGTAAATCATTCTTGAACCTGCATCTTGGAGTTTAATTTCTATTATTTACTCTTTAAAGAGTCAACTCTCAGCTGATCCCGTGCATAAGAAATCAAACAACACAGGAAATTAAACCTCCCAGCAGTGTTCAGTAAGTTTATTCAAATATCTCACAAGCCACCATCAAATGTTTCAACATTTTATTCTCAGTTTCAGCAACACTTTGGGAAGTATCTTGAGATAGTTTACTGTATGAGTGTATTGATTTTCTAAAAGGCATTTGGAGTAGTTAACAGTTTATCCCCTGAAGCACCCTAGCAAAAGAAACAACGTTTAACAGGAATAAATAGGTTATAGGGGACAATGATTTGTCACTGCCGCTACCTGTAAGGACAGTAGCTCTTTCCCATCTCTTTCGTAAGGGCCAGGAAGTTTTTCAGTTCTTCCCATGGAATACGATTGTGACCGCAGAGCAAACAGCTCCTCAATACAAAACGGTTGGAAATCTTCTCAGGTGTCAATTTACAGTGTGATTTCCAACTCTTATCGTCTGCGGACGTGTCAACCGCTACGGCGGGGCTGCTGTCTTCCGCACCTCCTCTTCCTTCCGGTGGTGGAGCTGCCACCTTGGGTGCAGGAACATCGCTGCCAAAGCGCTCGCAGGTCGGACCGCCCTCAGGTGAAAGTCAGCAGGCGCGCTCCTGAGAGCGCCTTTGCTTCTCAGCTACACAGGGATTTTCGTTTCTGGGAGCACGTCTGACATCTTTTTTTTTTTTTTTTAACATTTAATTGGGGGGCTCGCACAACTCTTCACCATCCATCCATCCATCCATCCATTGTGATGCCATCTCTTTCACATCCTGGCTCTCTCACCCCCAATCCCTCGGGAGTTGGACTCCAGTTTCCAGGGCTTCCAGAGGCACTGCGCTGGTTTGACTGGTCCCGAAGCGCACCCGCACCTTACTGGATCGAAAGTCTGCAGGTTGCCCCCGGGGCCTTGGGGCCTGACGCCCGCCTTAGCGGGTCCCCCGATGGCGATGGCGGGTCCCACAAACGCCCAGCCTCCCCTGTTCCTCCCAGGTCCGGTCAGCGTGAAGATGGGGGCGCCAGAGCGGTTCGCAGCCTCCATCGCGAGTCCCATCAGGGCGCCAGCCAGCCCGCAGAGTCACTACAGCCACCCGACCCCAAATCTCAGGACATCAGCCCATGGACCCCACTTTTCGGCGGCTGGCTTCACGGTGAGAAGTGGAGGGCCGCTCTGCCATTGACCTTCGCGGGGTGCGGCAAGGAGGAAAAAGGTCCTTGCGGGCGGCGGCTGAGCCTTCAGTACCCGGCAGCCATGCGCAGGTAGCCCGCCACGTCGCAATGGCCGCGCTCCTCAGCCAGGTCCACGGGCAGGCGGCCCCAGGCGTCGCGCACATCCAGCTGCGCCCCCGCGCGATGCAGCAGCACCAGCGTGTCCAGGAAGCCCTCCCGGGCCGCGTCGTGCACCGGCCGGGCCAGCGTGGTGGGGTCGGCGCAGTTGGGCTCAGCGCCGTGGCACAGCAGCAGCTCGGCCACCCTGGCACTGCCCATCATCATCACCTGCGGGGAGAGCACAGGGTGAGCGCGGGTGGGAGGTGGGGGGCGCAAGACCCCAGCCCGTGGATGGGAGAGGCCACTTGAAGGGAAGTACCCACCCAAATACGGAGCCCCTACAAGCTTCAAGTGTCGCGTTATTTTTGAGTTCCTGACCCAGTTTCTCCCTCTCCGGCCAGTTAGACCCAGTTAAACACACAACACCTCAATGGAACCAGGTCCGGGGCAACTGGTCCTGTGGGTTTCTGCGACTAATTACAGGAGTTTCTCCCTAGACCCAGTTACTCATCCCCACCCCTCACCCTTTTCCCCTACAACACACTTAATTTAACTGCTCTGGTCTCTGCTGGAACAATACTGTTGGAGTTTAATTTGAGTCAAAGTACTGTAAGAAAAAAAATTAGTGATGTACAGGGGAACAAAGAAATTGATTTTGTTTATATGACAGAGATGAAATGAAGTTTAAATGGCTTTAAAAATCTTTAATTATGTCCTTGTTCTTCCTTCTCCATAATGTAGGTATAAACATTTGGCAGTCGATTTTTAAAAAATTGGAATAATACTACAAGTAAACTAAAGAGATTTGCATGGTTTTGTTCTGGTGGCCAATCTCCTGTGGAGGCCTATTGCCTTATATCATATATATCTGGATTCATACATGTTTTATTGTATGGTAATGTGAGTCAAAGCTGGAGGTAGAAAGGAAAAACTAAACCAAATCTATATCTATAGTTTTATAAGGTGAGAAAAACACAGGATTGTTTTTTGTAAGCAGTTCACATTTTTAATGTTTTAATTTGATGTCATGGCTGAAGTTTAGTGTATAATATATTTAACATAAGTCAAAACAGTATGTTTTTATCAGATAATTTGTCTAGAATTTTATGTTAAATAGTAAGTATTTAGCTACATAAATAGTGTGGCTACTACCAGTGAAATCAGAACACAAAACTTAGAAAAGCACCCAATGTTTTAGAAGAGTAAATCTGTAGCAAACATTTGCATACACATTCCATAAGAATTGTCTTATTTTAAGTGAACTATAAAAACAACTTTTTAAAACAAGATGAAAGATTTTTCTCTTGTGATTCATGTGCTTTAAAACATTCATGTGCCATTGAAAGATAGTATACCTCTAGTTTTCGTTTCATGAACACTGAAAACAACCCATTTCTTCCCTTAAAAGTCATGACATAATTTCTCATCTACTGGTGATGTAGAGAGAATGCTTTACAGAAAAGAAAAATGTTGTTTTAGATTTTAGAAGGTGAATTAAAACAAAACATGAAGACTTTAAAACTACTCTTCAATATTTTTGTTGTCTTTAACCAATCCCTTATTTGTTATACTAATTATAATAATAGCTTTCTTAGTGGGTATTGGATTCGAACCATGGTCGACAGTAAAGCAGAAAAATATTAATTTAGATTTTCATGGAATATAAAAGTGCTAATTAAAGCAGAGAAAGGCACCCTGGTGGGTGGCACAGTGGGTGAGCGCTGAGGGTACAGGTTGGTGATAGAGCCCCTAGATTTTACAGCTTTGGGATCCCCACTCTGTCCTACAAGGTCAGTGTGAGTCAGGAAAGGCTCCAAGCGGCAACCGGTGGGTTAATTAAAGAGAAGATAGTGGTTCAACATATGAACAGATTGTATTTTAATATGAGAGTTTTCCACTGAAAAGAGAACCTAACAGTTGCTGCAAGAATGCTCTTAGCATCCCAGAATTCTATAAGATAACCATTCAGTGAAAATTTATGGGAACGTATATACATTTATCTTACACAACACCCAAGAGACGTTGCTAACATAAAGTAAAATTAAGTACTGTGGTTGAGGAATCTCCTCTCATTCCTTTACAGCTAATTCATCTTTATGCGGCACTGAGAACAAAGGTTTCGTTTCAAGGCTTAGAAGTTCATGGTGAATTTTTTTTTTACGGTGAATTCTTTCTCCCCCTAAGTGCTATGATTTTAAAGAAGAATGCCTTAAATCCCATCCAGACAGACGATTTTGTAATTTAATTCTCTTTAACGATGAAAGAAGACAACTATACAGACAAAATAGTCCCCAAGAGGACAACTTTCCTTCTCCCTATTTCCTCCCCAGCTGAACGCATTTCATGCAGCTCTGATTATGAGCTAGCTGAGGAGATAATTGTGAATTTTGTTCAGCTGTTGAAAAGAAAACCAAACGGAAAGTGCCGGGCTTTTCGGTTTCCTTTAAAAAGATCGTTGCTGTGTCCCTGCCTGCTCTACGCCGAGGCGCCACACCTCCAGGTAAAGGTCTTTGTCCTTGAAGGTCTAGTTCCCAGCGTTGGACCCACGGAGCCCGCGCTCGCGCGCCCCCTTCCGGCCGCGCCCCGGGGCCCCAGCTACCTGGATCGGGCGCCTCCCGAAGTGGTTGACTCCGTTGGGATCTGCGCCGGCTTCCAGGAGCTGCCGCACCATCTCCACTTGTCCCCGCGCCGCGGCGGTGGCTAAGCCCGCATCGCCGCCGCCACCGCCGAGTCTACCCTTGTCGTCCTCGCGCATTCCGCCACCCGCAGGGGCGCGCGGCCGGGAACCTCCGCTGTTGGCGGTGAACTTCGCGATCCTCCTCCCCGGCGCCGGGTCCACCGGCCACCCGGAGTGCTCAGCTGCAGTCGCCACCCGCCGTCCTCCGGCGCCTTCGGGGAGCCTGTGCAGACCCACCGGCAGGGGGCTAGCTTCGGGCTTTTCCTGGTGCTCCTCAGCCTGCGGACACCGCCGGCCCGCTGCGGGAAAAGGCACCTGGAGCCGCTGTCCTAGAGCGCAAAGCGGCGAGCCAGCGCGCCCGCACCGCCGAGCTCCGCTCCCCGCAGCCAAAGAAGCCGGTAGGGAGTGAATTCTTTCCCAGCTGAGCCGTCCGCCCGGCTCGCCCCACCCCCTCAGGCTCTGCCCCCCTAGTGGGCGGGCCAGCCCGGACCAGTCCCCCTTGGGCTGCCAAGAGGCCGTCTGACCACACAGCCTAGGGCACCGAGGGCGGGGTGACCCGCGCGCAGCCGGGGCTGGACGCAGGCGTGCAGGCTGGTGCGGGAAGGCGCGCCCGGCCGGGCGAAGCGCAGTGCGCTGGCTGCGTGTGTCTGTTAAGTCCCGGAGGCTCAAGTTTGGGGAAGTTTTCTCACTGCCTTCAGCTCCTACTCCCCAGCAGGAGGAGCAGAGCACTTCTCTGGGCTCCAGACCAGCCAGTTTCACTCTCGAGAGACATTTATTTCCGATGTAATTCAGCGTCAGAGAGAAAGGAATTTAAAACAACCCTGTCTCTTTAAGAGGTCCGAAAATGACAGCTTTGCACCTGTCACGCAGGTTAAATTAATCCCAGGAGGTGCTTGAATTCCACCAGTTTCACATCTTGCATCCAAGGTCGCAACTTTCTTTTGGGTATGCCTTCCTGTTTGAATCAACCAGAACAAACAAGCAAACAAACAAAAAACAGCGAAAAATCCCATATTCTTGTTTTGCTGTGCTGTTCTCTTTTTTAATCTTCGAACTGTACATTTTAAATAAAACCAAACCCACACCTGTCGCTGTGGAATCAAGTCAGACTCAGGGCCGGCTCCTGTGCTACAGAGCAGGGCTGCCCTATGATTGTCCTGGCTGTAATCGGTACTCCCCGCCCCTCCACTCCCCGTCCCTACCTAAAACTGAGTCTCAGGACATGAATCATTTGAAAACCTTCACAAACACGTTTTCGTTATATTAGCAAAGTACATCTTTGTTTGCCCTCTTACCTTATTTTAATCTGCCTTGGCAAGTATTAGGAGCCCTGGTGGTTCTGAGCTTAAAACTCAGTGCTTTGAGTTAAATAAACCACAAGCAGTCTGTTTTAATACAGATCTCCAGCCTTGGAAACTCTATGGGGCAGATCTACTTTTGCACTATGGGGTCACTATGGCTTGGACTTTTGGTCAGGAAGTATTTGGTTTTTGGTCAGCAAAGTATTTTGTTTTTTGGTCAGCAAGTATTTGGTTTTTTACTTATGAGTAATAAAGGAAATGTTTGTGAGCATAAAGGGAGCTTATGCAGTAATAATGAAGCAATAAAAACAGAGGTGTGGTACTGGGCTTGTCATTAAACAGGCTGAACCTGTCATTATATCTTCTTCTGAAGACATAGAGGCCAAGTGCATGCTTTTTCTTTTCTAATTTTCCTAGTTTCCTTCGGTTGCTTCCAACTTTTGAATAAAAATGCAGTAAGATTTTGTGCAGGTGTTATGTAGTAGAGGGCACCTTACAGTTCATTTAGATAATTGCCCAGGAATGTGATTGCTGGCTCATAGACATGACTGTTTAGCTTTGTAGGAAACTGCCAAACTGTTTTCAAAAGTAGCTATGGAAACATTTTGCATATCCATGAATTTCCATTTTTATCAGGAAAACAATTCTTTTATTTGTTGATGGCCACTCTATTCTTTCGTCTGGCCAGCAGCAACATAGAAGTCTGTTTCTGGGTGAAAAGTATAATGCTCTTTGGACTTGGCGCTCATGCTCAGTGTTGGGGAGATTTCAAGTGCTAGGGAGAATCAGGGAAGGAAGAGGGAAAATGAGGGGCAAGGGGACACAGAACCTTTGAAATAGGCAGCATTAATCCATTGCCAGTCACTGGGGAGGGTGAGTTATGGTTGTAACGGTGGATCTAGTGGCAAACGTGCTTAGTCCAGAGCACCGTGATAAAAAAAGCGTAGCAGTATTGAGATTTAGTGCACGGCCACATGGAACCAGGAAAGTTCCTTCTAACAGAGTGTCTTTGGGACCATCCCTCTTATGAATCCAGCTCAATAAAAAAAATTCCACATGTTCTGTGTTCTAGGAGTCTTTCATTTGGATATGTTCTGGGTGCTTGTTTTTCAGGAGCGCTCTCTAATGGCATTGAAATTTAAATTTAATGTGATAAGTCGACTGAGAAATGTATAGCTAGGGTACTTTCAGAGTAAGAACGTGGTGAGTTGACAGAGTGGCTGCAGCCATGGGTCAAGCCGAGGACAGATGATGAGGAAGATGCAGGATCAAGCAGTGTTTTGTTCTGTTGCGCGTAGGCATAGGGTCGCTATGGGTTGGGGCCCACCCACCTATCAACCACCACCACCACCAGGATAAGAAAGAGGGGGCAGTGAACCTAAGCTGAACATTTAGACAAAGTTTCTTAAAGGTGAAGTCAAGAAAAGAGTCTTAAAGGATGAGTCATAATCAGTTTATGTGTTCTGCTCTCAGTTTTAGATTTCCCTGACACTTAAAAAGATTAGAAAGCGATAGTTTGAGCCAATTTCTTTTCTCTCATTCTTATTTTGGTTTTGTTTTCTAGGTTTTTATTGTGGTTTCGGTGTGTGGTAGTTACATAATCTGGTGTCTTTTTAAGAGGATTTCTAGTGAAGGGGTGGAGCCTGATCTGTCAATCAAGATATAACTAGTGAGGCCTCTGTGTAGGATGGCCTTCTCCTGAGAATTCTGAGCACTCCTGGATTTCTTCCTTGGAGGCGGGAGATACTTCTCTCTCTCTCTGCTCACTCCCTGCGAGACGCTCCACTCTTGCAGTGGTTCTCAACCTTCCTAATGCCGCGACCCTTCAATACAGTTACTCATGTTGTGGTGACCCCCAATCATAAAATTATTTTCATTGCTACTTCATAACCATAATTTTGCTACTGTCAGAATTGGGCGACCCTGGTGAAAGGGTCATTTGACCCCCGGAGGGGTCTCGACTCACAGGTTGAAAACTACTGCTCTACTGACAAGACACATGGTGCTATGCCCTGGGAGCTGGAGAAGCCACATGGACCTATCCTGATGTAAACTGACCTGTAGAGCCAGAGAAGCCATGTAGACATCCCGGCTAGTGCTGAGATGCTTACAATGCCACTGGACCCACAAGACTTTCAACCCACTGACCTGTGATCCTCCCGCAATCATCATCATTGCATGTATTTCATGAGTCTGAAGAGGATTTTATAGATTGATATTGGCCATATGAGAAAATATTAGACTTATGGACTTGATCTGGACTGGACTGAGACATTTTCTTAACGTACAATTACTCTTTATATAAAGCTTTCTCTTATATGCATATGTGTCTCCCTGGATTTGTTTCCCTAGTCTACCCATACTAACACATTATGGTACCAGAAGGGGGTACTAAGAAACATAAAGATGGAACGTGGATATTTATTTGACTTCTGCCCCATGGTAGTGCTTCTTCTTGGGCCAGACAGAAGTCAGAAATGTCCATGCAGTTTATTGGGTTGTTTTCTGGAAAGAATATGGGAAGTTAAAGTCTTATTTTGTTTGGTTGTAGTCTTTGATTATTCCTGTATGAAATGGCAAAGATGAATGTTGTTGATGTATATTTTGAGTTCAGGGGTAGAAATCACCCTTTGAATTTCTCAGAGACCATGCTAGTTAGAGAAAATGGCTGTTAGAAGGTCAAAATGGCTCCCAGAAAGCCTGGATCTGGCTTGATACTCTCAGAGGCCTAATCCCATATTTTGTATCAACAGAATAGTTTAGATAAGGATTTAGATAAGCTAAATAAAGATTGAACTTGACTGTTTTAAGAATTGAGTTTAGTATCTGATTCTATTTTGTTTATACTGATTTCTTCGACTTAGTATTGATATAATGATTGATAGAAATGTTTATTAGGAAGTATGAAAATAGAGAGCTTCTAAGACCACTTGTCTCCAGCCATTAAAATTTGATCTTTAGGTGGGTTTAGGCCATGCCTGCAAAGAAAACTTTAAAAAGATATACCCCACCCAGTGCTTTGGAGTACTCAGGATATTTGCATTCCAAGAGACTTGCCTGGGGGCAAAATTGACAGATTGAAAAGAAAAAAAACAGGGAACTCTTTGGAAGCTGGGAAAATCTGGAACCATGAAGAAAACTCTTCTCTGGGACTGAAAGTTAAAGGAAACCTGTGGGCAGGTTGAAATGCTTGCCAGGTGACCACCTGGATCCATTTGTTGAGTGGAAGCTGGAGAAAAGCAGCAATAGAGAGATGGCCACTGACACCCATGGACCTGGTTTACAGGAACTAGAGGAGAAGATGAGAGCAGGTTGACTGGTCTGAAGTTCATGACCTAGCACAAGGGGGTTAGGGTTGTTGAGAATTTGTGATGGAGTCATGGTCTAAAGGCAGAGCAACCAATGGGTACCCTGATGAGGCTAAGTGAGGCAGCCCATATTGAGTTGACCAATGAATGACCAGATGAAGAGAAGATATTTGAGCCTGGGAACTGGTGCATATTGCCATTCACTTTATGGATGGCCTGTCCTGCTTTGACTTTGCTTATGGATGCGGACTTCACAAGGTTCCAACTGGAATGAAGATTCTTCACATCAAAGAATATGGTTGTCTCCTTAGAGCACTGGGTTGATGTAAGTGGGCAGTATAGAAATTGGATACCCAAAATGGGGCAGATAAAGGCATGAAGTGGCTGGCTTACAAACTTTCATAGATAGGGGAATACATTCCTATGTTTATAGGGTTAAGGTGTAGGTGTTACTTAACTGCAACTCTTA